CTTTATAAACAAAATAAATATGAAGACGAAGTAATCATTTATGTAAAATAAAAAAAATATATAAATTATAATAATATATTGTATATGCAATTACAAACCAAAGGAAAATGAGTTTGTAAATAAAGTAAAATGAGATGTAAATAATGTAAAAATAAATCATGGAAAGTTAAATTCTCATAGATTTTCCCAAATCATGGAAGTACCAGGTGAAAATGATAAAAGCGTACGGTTGGATATTATAATATTGTTGTTCCGAAGTACCTACTATTTGTAGAACTTAATTAAAATTAAAATCCACACCGTTTAATTTAACAAAAACAATCTTCCGCGTGCCAGAGATTTTTATTCTTGAAATTCTCTAAAACAATTCGCAATAATGTATTATTTATCTCGGTCGGTTTCGTGCACCTTTTCCTCAGGTGTTTCTAATAAATAAATAGAGAAATTTATAAAGGTGATATTACACGGCGATACATGTTTCTGAAAGACAGGCTAACGAACAGACAAAGCTTCGATATCATTCTTTGGGGCCCCACGGGTACGGAATCGTAAAATACCTATATCATTTATTATTTCTATAGTCGCGATCTACCCTCTACGTGGAAGGAGCATTCTATTCTGGATATAAGGGTCAGGATAGAGATCCGGGGGTAAAGGATACTTTTTTTTGGATTTTATTATAAAAAAAATAGTGGTGCATGGCATCGTGGCTTAAGGAAAATTGCTGGAACTTTCCGTACTAAAAATAACAATTTTAAAAAAAACTTTAAATATTTTTGAAACCTTGAAAAAATGAGATTTTTGAAAATTTTGAAATTTTTGAAAAAAATAAACTTTTTTGCAAAATTTGAATTTTCTTTATATTTCGAAAATGTAGATTTTTTTTAAACAATCGTGCTGAGTAGCTGTTTTAGTGACGAAATACAGTAAATTTGTATCCCAAACACACACACATATTCACACATATTCACTTTTTCTAAAGTATGCCAAAATGTTCAGAAACCTCTAAAACGTGAAATATGAAAAAATTATCATTTTCGATTTTTTGCGATTACTATAACGTACCCTACGGAAAGTTAAAAATAACAATAACGTAGTTCGAAGTTATTAGTATCGAAGTTAACGCTTAAATCGCCACTCGGTATCAGGAAAATTTTCATATAGATCTATGGTAACTTTATTAGACAATTTAGCTTAAAATAGATCAAGAAAACTTAAAGCATTAAAAAAAATTGTTTTTCCAAAATTCCTGGAAAAACACTATTTTTTATCTCACACATTTATGGCTGATATAGCCTTTTATTAAAACTTCTTTGTGGCTTAAAATACCTATTTTTGGATAAAAAAATAATAAACACAGTAAAAAATTCGAATTTAACACTTTAATCGCCAAGATAATATCAGAAAAAATTTAAAATAAACCTACCTTGGTTAGAAAAACTTAGAAAAATAGTTGAAAATAGATCAAGAAAACTTGAAGTATCAAAGAATTCTTTTTTCAAAATTTCTGAAAGAACTCTATTTTTTATATCAAACATTTATGACAGGCATGGCCCTATATTAAAACTGCTTCTTGACCTAAAGGATACTTTTTTTGGATTTTATTATAAAAATATAATAAACCTAGTAAACAGTTAATTGTTAACGTGTTGAATTTGACGCCTTAATCGCTACTATGATATTGTTCGGACGTATTTTCGTTTTATTATATTGGCTATGAAGGTGACTACCTTCAGGGCATTAAGCTTTACACGGAATGGTTGCTACCCCTAATAGAGGGGGTAGCGGAGTGTTGAAATTTGAAGTTGAAAAATTTTGCTGAAAAGAGTATCAGGAACTTTAATGTATCATAGGAAAATATTTTTGTCCAAAATTCCTGGAAGTACACTATTTTTTATGTCATACATATATGTCTGACATTGCTCATGAAAGTCTTCTAAGGGTCAGACTGAGTCTTAATAGTTACAAATTTAATTTTTTGCATTTTCCAAATACAGAAAGTGGTTAAGTCCAGTCCAAATATCTAAAAGACAATATTAAGAGCTAAAACTTTCAGAGAATTGTTTTTTATCAATTTGGAACCATTTGAGCCCTTGGGAGCAAGGAAATTCGAAAATGTCCATATTGAGGACCACCCTAATAAACATGAATATATATTTCATTTACCAATATTGGATTTCCGAAGTGATTTTTCCTTTTTCCCCGGCTCTCATTTTTCTCGTCTTTTGTGTCCAGAAGAAGAATGTGTGTCAGAAATCGTTTGACTGAACACATTTTGAATCGGATATATCGGTAGAGAGCATCTAGGTTTTGTGTATTGTACGTGCCTGAGATGTGGTCTCCAAGTTTCGGGATGATATATTGTAGTTATTATAAAAACGGCACGACCGACCAGGCAAGTCAGGCCACGGACGAAGTAGTATTACTAAATTCAGTATTCACTAGGGTTTGTCAGTTTTTAAAAACCGGCTTCGAAAACTGGTTTTTGACGAAAATTATGGAATTCGAGAACCGGTTTTTGGCAGAAAAAGTCGGTTTTCACTGTACAAATGAAAAATGACAAATATAGCCAAATATAAAAGATAGATGCAAGCGTTTTGATTCTTGGAATCATATTGGTTCAATAGCATTTGGAATCTTAAGTCAGCTATGGTTATCAGGTTTTGCCTAATGTATATATTAAATAACAGTGTATATATGAATTTAAATCAGGGCTACTTTTTCTTGAAAAAGTAACTCCCTCTACTCAATCTTAACTAGTGGGGTGGGTGGCATCGTGCCTTAAGGCAAATTGCTGGAACTTCCCGTACCGTAACGAAACGTTCGAGGAATATTGAATGTTTTCAAATAGATTATAAATATTGTATTATTGTCTAATATTTATAATAATTATATAAACTGAATTGCAGAGTTGAAATTATTTGTTTAAAGTATATTAGAACTATAGTCAGAATTAAAAATAAAATCTGAATTATTTTCGATATACAAAAAATTTTAAAAAAAAAAAAAAAAAAAAAAAAATGGTACAAAATTTTTTTTTTCCAAAATCAATTATTTTGTTAAGACAAGCAGAAAGTTCTTTGAATCAATTGAATCGGACGCTTAGTTCTCTCAAAAACTGCCATTTTTTGTACATTTAGCTCTGTATCTCCGAAATGGCTGGGCCTGCCTTTGCGCAAAACTAATAACCCTTTCTCCCAATCATTACTAATGGAATGTTTTTTAGATCATTCAAATCGGATGCTCCGTTCTCTCAAAAACTCGATTTCTATTTTCTGCACTCTTTGCTCCTTATCTCCGTACCTGCTGGACCTGTCTTTGCCAAAAACTAATCAGCTCTTCTCCTTATTAATAGGAATCGAATGTTTTTTAAACCATTCAAATCGGTTGATCCGTACGCCCGAAAACGTGGACGAAAATTTGTATCCATACATACATACACACACACACACACACACACACACACACACACACATCCATTTTTTCTGAGGTATGCCAAAACGTTCAGAAACCTTCAAAACGTCGAGAAATGTAAAAATTTTCAATTCCGATTTTCGGCCCATTACAATAACTTACCCTACGGGAAGTTAAAAAAGAGTTTTCAGCCCTAGAAGTCACAAATAGAAGAACAAGAAACTTAGAATTAGTTTATCAGACTTTAAAAACAATTAAGTTCGGTCACAAGTAAGAGAGTATTTTCTATTTTGGGAAATATTGTGAGTAAACAAGTCTCAATTTTTTGGAATCATATTTTATTAAACAAAAAAAATATTTTTTTAAAATTAATTCATTAAAATTGTTTGGAATAGAAAATAATCGGGGTTTAGCTTAATTGTTTTCACAACTAAAATTGATAGTAACAAGTATGCATCAACATGTACCTAATATTTTTTTATTTATTTATTCGAAAACTGTTCTTTTACTGTGATAAAAATATTTTCATTCTTATATGTAAAAATGATTCATGAATAACGAAAAATTATTTTCAAAGTTATTTAATCCAGGTAAACTATTATTTTTTTGTTCTACCAATTAAATTAAAATAAAACCGATAAAATTTCTGGTAAAATCAAAATTCGAAAACCTGTTTTCTGAAATGTCGGTTTTTGTATAAACCCTAGTATTCACTCTTAGAGGTAGAAATAAATAAATGATGATAGAAAATATAAATACTTTGATCTGGACAAGGAGTAAGTCATTTGGAAATGAAATGTTTGACGTATATACAGATTAGAATATTGCCACAGGTAAAACATGGTTTTGGAACACAATGTTCTCTCGAAGTTTTTGATACTTCACTATCTCCAATCAAATGTTTCTGACCATTTATAAAAAATCTTCAAACATCTCATTGTTGTTTGAGCATGCCATAGAAAAACCATGTAAAGAAGTATGCAAATATCAAGAAAATATTCCTCGACTTTTGTCAAATTTATCGATTTCCCCTCGAAGGTCCCAAGTCAACAGAGTGTATCAAATAATTCGTCGTATGTTCGACATCGCCAAGTAAATTACAACCAAGATGAATGTTTGTAGAAAAGTAAACTTTCAACTTTCCAAAGTGGTTACGAAATAAGAAACTCCTCTTGTATCGTATTACAGAGTGGCCTTGCTTATGGAAATGCAAATAAATACTGGTTTTCGGGACGATGGAAAAAGTAATTCTAGAGAAAATGATTATGACCAACGGAAAAAGTGGTTTTAATGAGAAAATTTTGTTCCTGGAGTACTTGAGAAGGCAGGTGTATCGTAATGAGAACCAATAAGAAGGGATGTTTGTTAATTAATTTTAGAAGTACAAATGAAGGATAAAAGAACTTCTGTTTAATTTTCATTACAATTTATAAACTCAGTGCGAGTAATAAATTGTTTGTTACTATCGACTATCTTATATTCTAAGTTCAAATGTCTGAATTGCATATATAAATTACAAATTTCAAATATTTTTATATCCATAAAATATTTAAAATTTGTTGTGTTAAAATAATAAAATGACTCACGTTGACAAACTCCAACGTTCCTTGTGGGGCTCTCTAAACAATGATATGGGGGCTCACATCGGCCCGAAAAACCACCAGGACCCCCACAGGGCTCACCCAAAGTCCTCGCGCAAACCCAACAACACCTGAAACAAAAATAAAAATATAATAGAAAAAATAAGCGAATATAAGCATGCTTATTTATAGATAATACATATTCAGCTATAATAATGCCAGATAATTTTAAATCAAGTTTATCAGATCTATAAAAACCGAAAAAATACTATTGGGACTATGATACAGGTTTAAATAAAAATTGTCCTTAACTTAATCTGATATTAGGACTAGTTGGTATTGGTATTTAGCCTTGAGCAAGTTACATAAACATCCCGATATGTGTAAATAATCGACTTAATCAATAAAAAATAAATTAATTTATGAGTGATTAAAAGTGTTCCGAGTGGATTTATTACACATCATTAAAAACGAACGAACACGTTAATCGGAGTATTTTCTAAAACCAAATTTTCAAAAATCAATAATTTTTCAATTGAACCAGTTTCCGTAGGACTTTAATAGTTTAGTGTGTTCATTAAGACCAAGTACTCTATTGTTATACCAAGTAAATCGTCTAATTTTAATTTTAACAAATGTCAAAAAAAAACTACTCATTTTCTCAAACTTTGATAAATTTTTAAAATTATACTATTTAATAATATTACAGTAAGTTCTTTAAGACGATAATATATATCGCCAAAAAAATAATTCCGTATACATTTTGAGCCTTGAACAAAACTTTAACATAATTTAGTTTTTGAGCATCCCCTTGACTTGTGGTAAGAGCCTTGGATTTGCAACTTTATGTTTTCAAGTAAATAAAAACTTCAATAAAAAATTTAAATAAAGATTTGATTTTACTTTAATTAGATGAATTTGGTGCCAATTCTGAATATAGATAAATTCTGAAAAAAACTATGTAGTTAAAAAATCATTAGAACTGCTCATAAAAGTTTAAGTTTTGATTGCTGGTATAAAACAAAAAAAAGTTTGTTTTTGTTTTAAATAATTGGATGCCTGTATCAATTACTTTATAAATAATGTAACAATAAAACACTGTCCCAATGATTTCTTTATTTTTTTTTATTTTCTTAATTCTAAGATTAATTATTAAATATCATTATGTTATTAGTAAATATCCTCAATGTAAAATCTTCTGCAAAAATATATATTTTAACACATTGTAAAATATTCATTCTAACTTCCAAATTTAGAATTTTCATTCTAAATTGTGTTCAATTATTAACTTTTTATCGCAAAGCTAATTTGAGAATAAATATTTTATTGTTTGGTTGAAATAAATATTATTGCTGCAAAATAGTGAAATGTTTATTTTTATATTAGACAAAAAAATATCAGACGTCCATCAAGATATTAAAAAGTATAATCTAAATTATGTTTTTTTAACAAAAAACACACATCTGTGTCGGTAGGTAATAGTTTTTTGCTGAGGCAAGTCCAGCCGTTTCGAAGATACGGAGCAAAAAGTGCCAAAAATGGTAATTCGACGATTCCGAGAGAATAGAGCGTCCGATTTAAATGATTCAAAAAAAAATTGTATAGATAAATAAAAAACTGGTGAAATTTTTGGAAAGGCAAGTCCAACGGTTTTGTAAATCCAAATTATCAAATATAATGTAGAATATTTTAATAATATGTACAAATATTGTTTACATTTCTATGGATTCCTTACCAATGTGAGGCCAAATTGCTTTAAAAAAAAATTCAACTTTTTCCAAAGTTCTCGAAAAAATAACTTAATTTTAAAATATGGTACGGGATGTTCAGCAGTTTGCCTTAAGGCACGATACAGTGCTCCATTAGTAAAAATTGTATTAAAAATTATGCAATAAGAAATAATTTGCAACGATGTGTGAAACGTACTACAACCATGTGTTAACATTCTTTTTCTTTCAACACCTCGATGGATGCTTGTTAAACCTTTTGTGTTTTTATCTAAATATATATACATAGTGTGAGTTGTATTATCAATCATTTATTCGTAGGCCTACTCACTCGCAAGGATCCAAAACAATAAGTCCGCGGCCAGGACATTGCTTCGGCTTAATCACTTCACACTCACTACTGTTGCAAACGCACTTTAATCCTTCACCAGGACGAACCGAACAAACTATTGTCAACACTAGTAAAGCACATGTGCTAAACACCCTATTTGCCATAATTTCTTCAATTAATCTTATGCTGATTTACTGATAATAACGCCACCAGTATAAATTCATCTCGGAAAAAAAATATATGGATCACATGGTAAAAATCACTTAGGATAGTATGTTGATGATTGAAATAGTAGTGCACGTGCACGAATTATTAAATATATTTTTTTCACATTTCGAAATAAAACAGAGCATTACTTTATCAATAAAGTTAAGCACTTATTTGATAAAAATATCGGAGAATTATTTTCGCGATGTTTAGATTGAATCAAAAATTCGCCGCACCGCGCTCGCACGTGGGCAAAATAATACTGATATGAACTGGGGTGTCGAGCCCTTCGGTAGGGTAAGATTTAGTTGGAGGGAGTTCGTGTTCGTGGCGATCTCTCACGAGGGAAAGGAGGACTCTTTAGTCAACTGTCAATTGTGAATAATTTGAGCAAATATAAGAACCAGCAATTGTACAAGGTATAGCCTAGATCAGGCATCGGCAACCTATGCACGCGATGGGGTTCTGGATGGCACTCTACAAAGTAATCAGGAAAATCGCAAATATATCAAGACGAAGTAGTTTTCAAACTAGTGGTGTATGACATCGTGCCTTAAGGCAAATTGCTGGAACTTCCTGTACCGTAACCAAATGTTCGAGGAATACTAAATGTTTTCAAATATATTACTATAAATACTGTAACATTGCCTAATATAAGAGAATTAATATAAGTAAGCTTTAAAACTTTAGCTAGAATTGAAATTGAAATCTGAATTATTTTCGATATACAAAAAAATGCAATATTTTTTTTTTCAAAAGCAATTGTTTTGTTAACACAAGCAGAAAGATTTTTGAATCATTCGATTCGGATGCTTATATCTCTCAAACACTGTCATTTTTTGTTTAATTAACTCTGTATCTTCAAAATGGCTGGGACTGCCTTTGCCAAAAACTAATAACACATCTCCCAATCATCACTAATTGAATGTTCTTTAGATCGGATACTCCGTTCTCTCAAAAACTCGATTTCTTTTCTTCACTCTTTGCTCTCTATCTCTGCAACGGGTGGACCTGCTTTGCCAAAAACTAATCAGCATATCTCCCTATCAATAGAAATCGAATGTTTTTTGAACCATTCAAATCAGTTGATCCGTGCGCCCGAAAACATGAACGAAAAAATGCGGACACACAAAACACACACACCATAATTTTTCTGAAGTATGCCAAATGTTCAGAAACTTCAAAACGTCGAGAAATGCAAAAAATTCATTTTCGATTTTCGGCCCATACTATAACTATCCTACGGGAAGTTAATAATAGAAAATGTTTAATTATAATTATTTATCTAACGTAGCTCGCTAATGTAATTCAACCTACGTTGAAGCACTTAAAGATGAATTTTCCAGAAGATGCAAAGACTTTGAAGCTTATGTGTCTATATTTTCCTTCTTCATAAAATCAGATTTAATAGATCTATCAATAATACCGTTTGATTCTTTAATTTTCTAGTGTATAAATGTTGAAAATTTATCTATTATGATATTTTTTTTTTTTTTTTTTTTTATTTATTTATTTTTTTTCTAAGATTTTTTCTCTTATTTAAAAATCACTTCGTCTCGATATATTATCAATCTCTTATCGAACTAAAATCTTTAGAATTATGAAAAACAAAATTTAAGGAATTACAAAAAATCTAGAAGATGACTATGAAAAAATCGACATCCATATTAAATTGTTGGATGACATTGCCGAAAAGA